TGTATGTATGTATGTATGTATGTATGTATGTAAGATAAAAAGCAATTATGAAGGTTCATAAGCTTTCGGAGACTTAATAAATAAGAACCAATTCCAAAACCTTCCTTCTTTTCTCCAAAGTTTCCATCTTACTCATCTATATTTGATAACCAGGTTATTCTTTCTGGTGATGACCCTAACTAACTTACTATTTTTTCCCTTACCAATAGCAATCTTTTTAATGAAGTGTAAGAAGGAAGGAAGTTATAGGGGAGAAAAAGTAAGGAATTTAAAATATGTCCATGAGAAAACTTAAGAAGCGAAATAACAAAAAAATAAAAACATGACACTCAAGAGCTTCAAATTACCTACGAGTCATTTTCTTGAACATGTTGTTAATAAGCAATCTTGTCTTAGAAACTGTAATGAAACCACAGAGTATTTTAAGTGGAAATAGGAGATAGGAAGCTATTAGCCAAATGCATTAGAAGCTTCTTCAGCATCTTAAAAAAAAAAGATGTAATTTGATATCCCTGGATTTTAGTTCAAATTCAGGCTGATGTCCATTTACATGGATAATCTGATAATCCAAATCAGATTTTTTTAAAAAATCCCAGTTGTTTATCGAACATTTTCTTTCCTTCTTTGCAAACATTGATCACCCAATGACATTTTCTTCTTGAGTAGCTTGGAAGCATAAAAATGTAAAATATTAATCTGTGTACTATTAAATATAAGAAACAGCTGGTTCATTCTCTTCTCTTCTAGTTTGGTGTTCTTGTTCATTGCTTCTTATTATATTGTTTTCCTTCTGTCTCGTATCTTGTGAGTTGCCCACAGTCATTTGGAATCAGGCAGCAACAAATCAAATGAAGCAAATAAATAATGAAAAAGCAGAGAATAATAGAACATGCTTCATAGCATAAATAAAAATACATCTATTCCCAGTTGAGCTTGACTATTTTTGATAGCAGTTTAGGGTAACCTGACCTAAATAATCAACTACATTTAAAGAAATCAATTTTACTCTTCCACGAATGTGTTCAATAATTTGGGGAGGTGTGGTGCTAAAAATGTA